CTTGGGCTTAGAAAACAACAACAACGACTACCATTTATTGAGCATTTACAATGTGCTGGGCACTTTGCCAAGAGCATTACATGCATTTCTCATTTAATCCTTTCAACAGTCCTGGGAAGAACAGTTACCATTGTTATCTTCATTTCACCATTGAGCAAATGCAGTGGAGCTAACTAGCTTGCCCAGATCACACAGAGAGCAGTGAGTGGCAGAATCGGGACCCATGCTCAAAACTGTTTGACCCCAGAGACTAAGTTCATCCCTTCAGAGCAAAATAATTCCATGCTTCAATTACTACCAACCGCCGACCCTCACCCCTACCCCTCACCATGTACACTCCAGGCTTGCTTTCCTCAGTTATTCCAGATGAGTTTCTGGATTTTCACATTGTTCTCGTTCAAGTTTCAGGCATCTCTTCCCCTAAGTCATCTTCTTTTCTGGTCTCTCGTCCCACAGCGCCCTGCAGATGGCCCTGGGTGGCACTACATGTCATGTTTGGTCTCACCCACAAGACAAGGGAGGTCCCCCAGGCTGTGCCCCCATCTCTTTCATCTTTGGATCCACTGTGCCTGACACAGTGCCTGACACACAAGAAGTGTTCCCTGGCACCCACAGGCTCCATATAGATGTGGCATTCAGGCCAGACAGAGCTGAGCTGCCACACAGCTCGCTCCCTTTCTCACTCCAAATTGGCAGGAGAGAGTGAACGTTATTTACAAAAACACCAAGCCAAACAAGACCCTCCCTTCCCTGACATGCTGAAGCTGCTCTGGGAACAGACAGGGGTCACCAAATGGTAGCCAGATGGTGACTGACTGCTGTTCCCTAACTCCAGGGGCCTGGGGCAAAAGGCTTGGCTGCCCACCTGCTCCCAGGACCTGTGAATGATCCACTTTGTAGGGAAAAACCCAGACAACTCCCTCCTCCCAAATCCCCTTCCACAACCAGCTCTCAGAGTGGAGACTCTGCCAGCTCTCACCACGTCCTGGGGACTCTCGAAGCCTGGTCTGGAAGTTCTGCAACCTCGCCCCATATCAACGGCACTTACCTGACCTGACCTCTTCCATAACAGGGAGGTGTTAATTCTGTAGTATCCATCCAGGGTGGTGGGGTGATCATCCCTGGTAGGCACAGCTGAACCCAGACAGAGCAGGGAAGACCTGGGGCAGAAGGAATGTGGGGAGAAGAGAAGAGAAGCTCTTTTCTCCCCAGGAAAACTCTGAGGACACAAGAAGCTAGAGGAGCAGGGAAGAGATTTCCTGCAGTGTTCCCAAACAAAGAGAGCTGGCTGGGCTTTGGGGAGAGCTCCGCTTCCCTTCATTTCATTCAGCAGTGGTCTCCTCCTCCCACAGATGTGGGAGGCAACAGGCCCCCAACTGGTTATCAGGCCCTCCAGCGTGAGGGCCTTTGTCTTCCTGTAGACATCTAGCTGGCAGGGCGAAGGGCCGACAAATCCTCCCTGACCCTCCCAGCTCTTTGTTATCTCGGAGGGAAGATTACATTTCTGTATGGGGAGGCAAGGTGCCAGGAGGCCTCGGGCAGGACAGAGACAGGCGGAGCTGTAGGCTGACCCCCCGGTTGCCTGGAGTGGCTTAGGGCTGTCCTAGGGACACTCTCCCTCTGGCCTGGGGCCCTTCCAGAAATGGGAGGGCTGCGTTTCAGAAAGAGGCGGGTAGAGGAGTGGGACAGAGGGGGAGATGGGCTGGAAGGATAAAAGCAGCCAACTCTCAATTATTCAGAAGTGTGTCTGTGGTCTGTGGACAGCTCATGCCTTCACTGAGTTTCTCACCTTCTCCGTTCAGCTGCCATCAGCTCTTTCCTGAGAGTGGAGGAGGGAGCCCTGGCAAGTTGGCCACTTGCTTTCATTTTGGTTTCTTGACGAATCTATAGAAGATTTTTCAGCAGCGGGCCCATGTCCTTCAACACCAAACAGGCATTTAGATCATTCTCTTTCTGTTTAAATCAAGAACGCATTCTTTAGCCTCTTCTTTGGGGATCAAGATACTCCTATAATGGTTCCAAACCATAAGAAAAAAACAGCTTGATTTAAAACCCCTTGTTTTAAGCCAGATGTGGTGGCTCATGCCTATAATCCCAGCACTTTGGGAGGTCAAGGCAGGCAGATCACCTGAGGTCAGGAGTTCAAGACCAGCCTGGCCAACATGGTGAAACCCAGTCTCTACTAAAAATATAAAAATTAGCTGGGCATAGTGGCAGGCACCTATAATCCCAGCTACTCGGGAGGCTGAAGCAGGAGAACTGCTTGAGCCTGGGAGGTGGAGGTGAGCTGAGTGAGCTGAGACACTGCACTACAGCCTGGGCGACAAGAGCAAGACTCCGTCACAAAAACAAAACAAAAAAACCCTTGTTTTAGAAGAATTACGGAGAGGAAGGGTGATACACACTCCGATAGGAATAAAGTAGGAAAATAGTAGCTGGGTATTAATATTAAATGCTGGATTTTTTTCATGGCTTGCCTTCCCAATCATATTCCCTCAAATTATATTTCCTCCTCTGGTAACCCAGGTTTGTTACGCTTAGCAAGTCCATCAACAGCAAAGATACATGGAAAACCTCCCGAGTGGCATTAGTCAGACGCCTAGATGAGATCCTTGCCATAAAGCAGTTTAGAAGCCAGCTAGAGAGAAAGCTGAGTAAGGAAAACCACTAACAAAGCTATGGTAAGTATCAACTTGGCAGATAGCCAGAAAGTCAGCAGGGGGTCCAGGGACTAAGGAGGCTGGGATGGGCAGGGAAGGCCTCTTGGGGGTAGGGTGTGAGTTTGGCCTTCTTACAAGCCTGTGATGACCATTAATTAAAATGTAGGAGGCCTAATGGGTGTGCAGCATCTATAGGAGTATAAACCAAGCCTGACCAGGAGCTGAAGGATTAAAGGGTGGTTTGTAGGGGAAAACCCTATAAACAATGGCTGAAGTTCATTTATCTATTTATTTTTAGTAGAGATGGAGTTTCACCGTATTGGCCAGGACAGTCTTGATCTCTTAACCTCATGATCCCCCTGCCTCAGCCTCCCAAAGTGCTGGATTACAGGCCTTAGCCACCGCACCCAGTCTAAAGTTCATTTATTCAACAAATATATGAGGTCCTGTTTCTAGTGTTTTATTTTGTATTATTTTGTTTTGAGAAACGGTCTTGCTCTGTTGTCCAGGCTGGAGTATAGTGGCTCAATCGTAGCTCATTGCAGCCTCAAATTCCTAGGCTCAAGCCATCCTCCTTCTTCAGCCTCTAACTTCAGCAAATTTTTAAAATTTTTGCAGAAACAAGGGCTCACTTTATTTCCCAGGCTGGTCTTGAACTCCTGGCTTCAGTGATCCTCCTGCTTCGGCCACACAAAGTGCTGGGATTACAGGGGTGAGCTGTAATTTAGTTGTTTATTTATTCATTTGCTCAACAAATATTTATTGAATATTTACTCTTTGGCCAGTCAAGGAATTTCATGAACGTCTACTATGAATAACACTGTATTGGTCACTAGTCTGTCACCTACTGGTAGATTAGAAAAATAGGCCGGGCACAGTGGCTCACGCCTGTAAACCCAGCACTTTGGGAGGCCGGGGCCGGCGGATCACGAGGTCAGGAGATTGAGACCATCCTGGTCAACATGAAGAAATCCCGTCTCTACCAAAAACACAAAAATTAGCTGGACGTGGTGGCGCGTGCCTATAATCCCAGCTACTCAGGAGGCTGAGGAGGAGACTCACTTGAACTAGGGAATAGAAGATTGTGGTGAGCTGGGATCGCGCCACTGCACTCCAGCCTGGCGACAGAAAGAGACTCTGTCTCAGAAAAAATAAAAAAGGGAAAAAAGGAAAAAAAGAAAAAATTAAAAATAATTTAATTCTTAAATTAACGGGGGTGGGGTGGGGAGGAGCAGTGGGTGAGGTGGGGGAGGAGTTTCGTGGGGGATCTCATTCAGTATTCAAACTCTTACAAATTTGGGAGTTGAGGTGGGTGATGGTGAGGGAACAGGCCCTGCCATTAACTTACATAGTGACATCTATTTGTGTAATATTTTTGGCACACTGATGGCTATTATTGTATTTGATTCTTATGACCATCTTGTGAAGGAGTAGCAACAGTTACCCCTGTTTTGATTTTATCAGATGCATGACTTGTCCTACATCAAACTTCATAAATGATGGACAGAATGGAGGAATCCTTCAGCCCTAGAGCTGCCTGCTTCCCACCCCAACAGTGGTCTCAGCCTGGGCTCACATCATAGGCCCCACGGAGCCTTGGAAAAAACACAGATTCTTGGCTCCTTCCTGGGACAGCACGATTCCTCATGTCTGAGCAGGCCTATGAATTTGTATTTTTCAGACGTTCTTTACAGGACCCGTGTCCATTTGGATTAGGGAACCACTAGATTATACCATTCCACGGAAGACTCAGGGGGAAGCATTTTAGCCACTTTCCTGGGTTCCACAGTATTGGAGGGTGTTCTGAGTGGGCTGTGATTAATTTCCAACCCAACCACACCTCTCCCCTCAACTCCCACTGCTTACTCTTTGCTTCCTAGAGGTTCGCTGCAGGCTGGAGACTTCTGGAGACCAACAACATCGCTGTAGAATTTAGAGTCCAGTTCCCGGTGGACCACAAAACCTAAATTATGTGACTGGGGAAAGCTGAGATCCAAAGGAAGGGTTTGAGGAGGGGCTGACCCTCTCAAGAATAAAACCAGCTTGTATTTATTAAGTGTTAACTATGCGCCAGGCCCTCGTTGACGCCTCAACTCTATACGAAAAGCACTATTATTCCCCTTTTACAGATGGCAAAACCGAAATTTAGAGCGCGAAAATCATTTCCCCAAGGCGCACAGACTCCAGAACCCACGCTACCAGGTACAACCTCAGGGCTGCAGCGTCCCTTCACCTGGCCCCCCACACTGCTGCTGGGTCTAGGGCCTGAAATTCTGGCGCCCTCTGGGACGTGCTCAGATGCAGGGTCGCGAGCGCCAAAGGAGACCAGACTGCGGGAAGGGAAGGGTAGAGCCGGGAACAGCTCGGCCCGCTCCCCCTCCTCGGGGGCCGCGGCTCGGGAACTACAAGGCCCAGCAGGCAGCGGCAGGAGGCGGAGGCGGAGGAGGGACCAGCGCGGGTGGGAGTGAGAGGGCGAGCCCTCGCGCCTCGCCGGCGCACAGCGCTCGGAGCGCTCCTGCGGCCACAGGCGCGGCGGCCTCGGCGGCGGGCGGCAGGCAGCGGGAGCCGGGACGCCGGTGCAGCCTGCAGGGCGCGGAGGAACCCGGGCAGTGCCGGGAGCTAGGCGGCCACGTCCGGACCGGACCGAGACTTCGCGTAGCGCATTGCGGCGACCTAGCCTTCCCCGGCCGCGAGAGCGCCGCTGCTGGAAAAGCCGCGGAACGCGAGGACTTTTCTCTGCTCCGAGCTCTTGGCGCCCCGCAGGACGCACGGTACCCGTGCTGCAGTCGGGCACGCCGCGGCGCCGGAGCCTTCGCGGGGCGATGGGTCCTGGTCTGCAAGGAGCGTGAGGCGCCGCCGCCGCGTTCCGGAGAAGGGGGGCGCAGGGTCTGGAGACCCCGGGCGGCGGACGGGAGCCCTCCCCCCGCCCCGCCTCCGGGGCACCAGCTCCGGCTCCATTGTTCCCGCCCGGGCTGGAGGCGCCGAGCACCGAGCGCCGCCAGGAGTGGAGCGCCGGCCGCGGGGCTTTCGCGACCCCGCCAGCACCCGAACAGAGCCCGGGGGCGGCGGGCCGGCGCCGGGGACGCGGGCACACGCCCGCCCGCACAAGCCACGGCGGACTCTCCCGAGGCCGAACCTCCACGCCGAGCGAGGTAAGAACCGCGGCGCCCCCGATCCGGGGCGGGCTTAGCGTCCCGAGCAGCCCCAGGCACCAGAGCCTCCCAGCTGAGCGCTTCGCCCGCCGCAGCCCAGCCGGGGCTGGCGCCTCCCTCCGCTCGCCGCCCTCCCCCTCCACCTCCCGGCTCCCTCCCCGGCAATCCGCGCCCCTCTTGGGTCTTCCCTCCCTTCCCTCCGCCCGCGTCGCTTTCTGCGCCCCCTCCCTGCGCTCGTCCCACCGCTCTTCCCGCCGCCCAACTTTTCTACCAACTCGCGCTCGGGAGCTGGCGAGGCGGCGGCGGCGGCGGCTACTTGGTGAGTCCCGGGAGGGACAGGCCCTGGGCGAAGGCGGCGAGGCCCGCGGTTTCCAGGACTGGGGAGGAGGACGGGAGTGGGCGGCGAGATGGGGTGCGGTGTGTGTGTGTGTGTGTGTGTTGTGTGTGTGTCTGTGTGTCTGTGTGTGTGTGTGTATTGCATTCCACTCCCATCTCTTTTTGGTCCACTTTTGGGGATTCACCCCAATTCAGCAGGTAGCTTTGGGCTCAACGCTAAAAATCCGGGACATTCCTAAGTCCTTTTCCACCCCCGGGAAAGTCTGGGGTCCGGGTGGGGAGCGAGTGGGCGAGGGGGGATGAAATGCGGAGGATGTGGAGAGCGAGGTTAGCTTCTCTTGGAATACGTTTTAAGGAGGTGTCGTCACCAAATGGCTGAATCTGCTTGAGCTGAGAGCGAAAAACGACTCCCCTTTCCAGAAGGGGTGATCTACTTGGTCTCTGAAAGGGTCGGAAGTTTGGGGAACGGGAGGACGACCCGCAGTCTTTAAGCCGAGGTATGGGGCGGGGCCGGGGGCCGGGGCCGGGGCCGTTCGGTCCCAATCTGGTTCTTGGAGGTGGAGGAAGAGGATAAGGGTTTTGTCCGGTGCGGTTCACTCGGCTGCGATGCGTGTGCTTGTCTAGCCCAGACCCCTCTGCGCCCCGCGTCCCCTCCCGTTATGTTTGGGGTTGCGAGAAAAGGAAGGCTACGACCCATGTCTGCAGAGAAATTTGTGGACGTTGTAGATGGAGTTCATATAGAACACCCCCTATGAGGCAGCCAGACACTGTGTGTGTGTGTGTGTGTGTCGGGGGGTGAAGCCTGTTTCTTGTTCTGGGCCCAGAAGCTATCAGCCCGTTTGAAAAATATTTCCACGGTGCCGTTCTCCCCTAGCCCTCCCCCATCCCCCTTTTCCAGATGTGGCGGCCGCATCTGGTTCCGTTTCACCCCACACGGGTACACCGCAGCCGCATTATTAACTTACCTCTTCCTCCCCTCCCCCTCCCCCAAATTAAAACTCGGATTTTTCAACTCGCCTTGACCACCTCCCTCCCGAACATTTCTGGAGACTTGGAGATGCGGCGTTGAGATTCAGGGGAGAAAAGAAAGTTCGCTTGGATCCCGAGTTATTTAAGATCCCACCAAGTTATTCGCCGCTGCTGGTGGGTGGCAGCGGTCGGGCTGCTTTCTGGATTGCGCAGAAAAGAGGCATCTTGGGAGATGGGGCCAAGGTTTTAGGGGATGGCACTTGAGAACGGTTCATCCGCGAAACTAGGGGGGCTCTTTGGCCGTGCGTCTGGCCAGAAGTGGCCTTGACGATGGAAGTTTCTGGAACCAAAGCATTGCTTTCTCTCCCTTGAGTTATAGCTGGAGCTGCAGGAGCGCCTGACCCGCCCGGAGCCCGCGGTCCCCTCTCGGCCGCCCCGCGGTGGCGTCACGCGCCCCTTCTTCCCCTCCCAGAGCGAGCCCGGTGCGCAGGGCCGGGGGCGTGGGCGGCTGTTGCCAGAGGTGCTCTCTCTGTGTTTTTAAGAACTGATTTGGGCCGCATTCCCGGAAACTAAAGTGGGACATTTTACCGTTTAAATAACGGCCACAGGTTTGAAAGCGGGGGTTGGATTGTCGAGTTGTGTTTGGTCATAGTCATTGAGGCAGGAAAGCGCCCTGTGGTCCCAAGTTGCGGGAGGGTGGGGAGAGTCCGGAGAGTTGGTCTCTTACCCGCTTCTTTCCAGTCTCTTTCAAATTGAAAACACTTCTCTGGTTTCCTTCTTTGGGCGGTAGTTTAGGAGGCTGTAATGAAATCGCACTTTCTCTAGACGTGGTAATTAAGGTGACTGTTTCCTCCGCAGATGTGCCCTGCCCTTTGCACCTCCGGACCAGCGCTTTTTTTGGAATACCATCTAAATGGGAAAACCTTAGCCTTGAGACTGTTGAGCAGAAAGTGGCCATTTTCCTCCCTTTGGCCCGGGCTCCCGGTTTCCTCCCTGAGGCTTCTTTAAAAGCGAAGTAGCAGGACCCCTTGGGACCCACGTTGGTCTGGTTAATCACCCCCACGCCTGGGTCATACACCTTTCTCTCAGGACCGAGGTCTAGCAGCCTCTGCCATTGCCGGCCGTCTGTCCCGATGACCTGCCTCCCTAATGACTTGTTTACATATCCTCCCCCCAGTGGGTTAGGAGAAGCTTGGGGCTGCCCCTGACCCTCCCTCCGGGTGCAGGGTGTTTGGGGACAGGGAGGCTGCTGGGGCCTGACTCCAACTGGGAGGGTTATGAACTACATCAGTGACGAGCTCCTTGAAATATCTGTTGCATTTGCTCTTAGTCATAGTTGAGTGTCAGCTTTTTAATGAGGTTCATCCAGATTGAGAGCCACTTGGACCGTGTACTTTCACTGCCTGCTTTTCCAAACATGCCTGCAAAAGTGCTCATTTTCGACGTATTTTTCCCAGTGGGGATTCGGACCAGAGTGGGTACCACTTGGACAGTCTAAGGGTGCTTCTTTTCCTTGGCCTCTGGCCATGGAGGTTGTTAGAAAGTTCCATTGGGTGGCCCTTTGATAGCAAGGGAAGCAAAAGCTCAGGAAGAAATGGAGAAGTGACCCCACTCCCTGGGGGAAGAGGATTAGATACATTGGTGCATCCCTCAGGCTGGGCTGGCTTTATTCCTAGTAGACTCCAGAGGGCAAGAAAATTGAATTGAACACTGGATAGGCAGATTCAAGCCTTAGAGACCAAGGAAAATCCATGGGTTTTGCTTTTAGTGGTGTGCTCTTTGTTTTCAGTATTGACCTGAAACAAGACTCCTAAAATGAGAGATTTGCTCTTGTGAACTTGGGGTTTTAGCAGCCGGTTCTCCAAAGGCTTTTTTCTTGCCTCTGTTTTTAAAGTGTCTTTCATCAAAATGGCTGTTAGTTAAAGAGCATCCTAGCAAAGTTTGAGCCTGTTGCTGCTGGTGGAAAAGAAGTTAGAATTGATTCGTATGTCTTGTTCTGAAAGGGCCTCGCATCACTTGATGAGTTTAATTTCCTCCTGGGAAATTTGTGTCTTGCATTTGTCTTCCCCAGAGCTTTGTAAAAGGCCCGAACGCACCAGGGACTGGTGGAAGCCCAGATGCAGAGCTTTAGAGAAGATTCTGGTGTTTCCAGAGAGGATGAAATGTCAGACCTGGGCTAGGATATTTGTTTTCCCCTAAGAGTGCATCTACTTTAAACAGAAATTCTCTCCTCACCACCACCTCTCTCTCCCCTGCAGTGAAAGAAACTATGTTTAGGGCCCTCTACCCCATTAAATAGCACTCACCTAGATGAACCATCCCAAGTATTTGGTGGGGTTCCACTCATAGTACATTCTGTCTCCAAGAGCAAGATTTTCCTTTTTTTTTTTTTTTTTTTTTTTTGCGATGGAGTCTCGTTCACCTCTCGAGTTCAAGCAATTCTGCCTCAGCCTCCCGAGTAGCTGGCATTACAGGTGCACGCCACCATGCCTGGCTAGTTTCTGTATTTTTTTTAGTAGAGAGTGTTTTCACCATGTTGGCCAGGCTGATCTCTGTCCACCTTGGCCTCCCAAAGTTCTGGGATTACAGGCGTGAGTCACTGCAAGAGCAGCAGATTCATGTAGCAGTTCGTGTTTTTCTAGATTACGTGTAGCAGTTCGTGTTTCACTTACTGCTAATTTGTTTTTGTTTTGAAACGCAGTCTTGCTCTGTCACCCTGGCCAGAGTGCAATAGCATGATACTGGGTCACAGCAACATCTGCCTCTTGGGTTCAAGCGATTTTCCTGCCTCAGCCTCCTGAGTAGCTGGGATTACAAGCATGCATCACCATACCTGGCTAATTTTTTGTATCTTTAGTAGAAATGGGATTTCACCATGTTGGCCAAGCTGGTCTTCAACTCCTGACCTCAAGTGATCCACTGGCCTTGACCTCCCCAAATGCTGAGATTACAGGCGTGAGCCGCCATGCCCAACCACTTACTGCTAATTTTTTATATACCTCTACTCCCAAGTACATTTGGACAAATTTTTTTTTTTTTAACAGAGACTCAAAAGATTCGCATTTTCCTTGGACCAACTAAAATTTTGCAAGCTGAGCTAAATAACTTTCTCCGTATGTTATTAAGTACTTACCCCCTACCCTCTCAACATACGAGTAGAGAACGCTCACTTTGGGGAAAAGCAACCATTTCTGCTAAGAAATAAGTCTTATTCCCATTTGAAGGGATTAATGTTTTGTGCTACTTCCTCAATTCTGAAGAACCAAGTTGTCTAGAAATTTTCTCAGTGTTCCTTGGACTAGAGTTTGGCTGGTTAACAAGAGGTACTAGCTAATTGCTTTTCTCTGATACTCTCGGCCTCACTTCTGGAGGAGGATCTGTGTCAGTTTCTTCTCATCCGCCTTTTATTTTTCTTCATTGACTTACTCATCCAGTTAACAAACATGTTGGCATCTGCTGTGTACATACTAGGTGCCAATCGTGTTAGCAAAGGTTAGGGAGGCACAAACCCTGCTCCAAAGGAGCCTGCAGTTTCGTGGGGAGAGAAGAGAATGAACATAAATAGCATTCATATAATATGACCTAAGCACCACGTGAGAGGGGCCAGTAATGTGGTTTGCAAATTGGAAAGAATGAAATCCTCTAGCTAGAAGGCCCAAGAAAGTCTTATGTAAGAGACTGCTTCTTAAAGTAGG